CGCAGCTTGGTGTAGTCCTGCGCCTTTTGGGACGGGGCTGGGTGGGCCTGACCGCACCCTCCCCTTCTGGTAGTCATAGGCAGGATTGAGTGACGGTTGGGGACAGGGCTCAGAAGCCCCTCCCCAGCCCCGAACTGACCCCTCCTTCCTCCCTCCCTGTGCTTGACTGGGCCTGACCCTCTCCTCCCAGGGCCCAGGTCTGTGTGATATCTGTATATATTGCATTTTGTTGATTTTAATAGAAAACAAAGCGTTATTTTCTCTTTCTTTCCCTCCTTTTTTTTTTTTAATATTTTTTTGGTAAGGATTTTTTTCCCTCCCTTTGTAAGATTTTGTTTCTATACGGGAGGAGGGGGAGGGAGCCTCTGGGTCACCTGGATTGAGGGGCCTCCCCCAAACATAACACCCCACCTCTCTGCCTTCAGTTCTAGATCTGAGGAAAGCGGAGGGAGTGAGGTAGCAGAGGAGTCTGAGCTGAAATGGGGTGTTTGGAGCAGGGACCCCAGAGTTCCCAGATTTTCTCAGTCACTCTCCCCCCACCAGAGTTGTCCCTCCTAGGTGGGCGTTTTCAATCTTTTGTTGTCAGGTTGTATGGGGGGGCAGGGACGGTGCTGGTGGGAAGGAGGCCAGCTCTGGCATTGGGCCAGTCCCGTGGGTGAGGCTCGTGGTTGAGGCTCTTGGGAGAGGCTGAAGCTGTGTGGCTCTCTTATGTTGTGGCTTTCTTAGAGTCGTGGGAATGGAGGACCCTGTTGTGATGTCACTGAGTCAAGTGCATTCCTTATGGTGTCACAGGAAGCAGTTCCCCAGAGGTCACTTCCTGTGATGATAAGAGACACAAGTACTTCCTATCATGTCTCAGTGAGCCCCTCCTTGAAGGTCACTTCGGTGACATCATGGGGACATGGACTCTCATGGTGCCTCGAGGTCACTTCCTGTGATGTCATTAGGTTGAAGTGTATACTTCCTGTATTGGACAGTAGCCAGTCCTTGATCCTCCTCCTCCACCTATAGCCCTCTTTGGTGGGTGTTGGCCTGGAGGGCCTTCCTAGGAAGAGAAAAAGGGGTGGAACTTGGATCTGGAAGACTCTAAGGGAAAAAACCCAATATGGTCAGGGTCATCTCCATCCAAACACACCAAGTCTGTGAACTCGCCCTGGAGGTAGGAGTGGGAGATGGAGCTCGTGCAAACTACTGTTAAGAAACCCCCCACATTCCCAACCCTGCCTTTTGTGTGCATGCCTGTGTCTGCGTGGCTTTGTTTCATTGAATCGGGTGAGCCAAACATGTGGTGGCTCTGTCAGGCCAGTGTGGCCCAGTGTAGAGTTCAGTGAGCCACGGTAGGGTCCCTTGGGCCGGAATGCTTTGCGTGGTAGATTAGATTGGCTTGGTAGCTTCCAGAAAGCTGGCATAATTTGGTGACGTCTGATGGATCATAATGTTTTGTTGTGCTCACCACAGCCTAAAGAACTAGACTGTTCAGATGGAGTCTGACAAGCCAGGTAGCCCTGAGACTGGGTTTGCGAGTGGTTCCCTGAGCGCTGTGACTGTGATCAGCTCTAAGGACCTGTTGGCGGACTGAGATTTCAGGGCCTGACAGCATTATAGACTAGGATAGCAGAGACACACCTCTGCTCCTGTCCATCTCCCTCTCCCCTTTGGAGACCGCCTCCACCCTCTCCAACCCAAAGCAGGGCCTCCTGGGCCCTGGTTCCATCATCAGCATCTCCGGGGGAGGGGAACCCCATGCCCACCCTCTCCCCCATCTGTCCCCCTCCTAGGTCTTCCAGACCCTTCTCTTCTCCATGGCTTTGGAGGAATCTGGCCTCTTCATCTCTCTCCTTAGAAAAGGAGAGAAGAAAAGCCACTGAGATAATTCCCACTCCTAAAGCCTGGGAGACCCCCATCCCTCGCTAGAGAGCCACGCCCAACTCAAAATGTGAAAATCCCTAGAAAGCAATAGCCTTCAAGGTACCTTGCACTGAATTTCTCACCCTGGCCCTTCCACCCGACGGGAGGCTGTAGCTTGGGCAGTGGGGTGACTTATTCCATGCCCTTGTCATCGCCAGGGTGGGGGGCACTCCCCATTTCCCCATCCCCCACTTCCGATCATTGTTGCCCCCACCCTTAATCTCCAGACTGAACCCAGATGGAGACCTGAGTGCCAAAACAATTCTTGATGTAACTTTGTACATATCTTCTACAGTTGGGGGCTCTGGGGTGGAGGTGGGAGCGGCTCTGTGGGCCATTGTTCTCCTCCACCCCTCAAAAGACCTTACAGTATTTCACAGTATCTCTGCCCGCACATGGGTAGCATAGTATCTAGCTGGAATATCTCCCTACAGCCCCCCCCCCAGGCTCCCGTGAGGAGGGAAAGGAGCCAGGGAGAGGTGAACTAAGGTCTGGGAGTGGGGAGGTGGGATATGAACAAGCTCATTTGCATATCATTTGCATCTTCTGCTTGGCAGCCGCTTTCTGCAAACCCATCCCCCCAGAGTCTGAGTCCCAATCAGCCGGGTCCAGTACTCCTCTCACACAGACATGTCTCTGGAGGCTGGGCCTCCTTAAAAGTATTCCCTTGGGTGTCTGTGTGACAACCCTTCCCTATCCACCTTTCTTGGGGACCCCCTACCCCGCCAGCCAGGGCTATCTGAAAGGTAGTTTGCCAGCCCAGTGAGCTACTTCGCTCCCCATGTTGGTGAGTGAAGAACCGCACACCTTTCCCCATTTTACCCTGGGAAACTCACTCCACTATCTTCGCCATCCCTTGAGAAAGTCCCTTCTGCAATCTGACCTTAATCTTCTGTGCTGCAGTTTGTCTAGAGGGGACACAGATGTGGGGCCAGGGATGGGGATTACTGAAACCCCCATCGCCTCTTTTTTTCCTCCCTTTCTCTTAGCCAATCAGATCTCAGAGACTCTGAGTGGCCTCCTTGCACCCTGCTCTTCAGCACCCGGTAGGTGCTTAATAAGTGTTTGCTGCATTGAATTGTCTCCCATTCCTTTTCATTTGCCCTCTAGCTTCCCATACCTTCCCTGTGTTTTCCTCCCTTTCTGGCTCCCTATGGCTATTTTTTTTTTCTCCCTGTGGCCCCCATTGTTATCTGTCATGTCTCGATCTTTGTCTCTGTCTGTCTTCCTCCTCTCCTCAACTCTCTCCCCAATTTGCCCCATTTAAAAAAAAAAGTGCCAAACTTCCTTGGAACTGAGCCGCTCTCGGGGAGAGGACCTTGGATAGAGGGGAGGAAACGGGACCGTCTCTCTTTGAGGAGGCCCCTAAGAGGCATTGAAAAAGTCTGTGGACACTGAGCTAAATTGGGTCCCCCTTCCTCAGCCCTCCCGCCCTGAGTTTTTCTTAGAATCTTTGTAAGAAAAAAAAAAAGAAAAGAAAAAAGCTCTCCTTTTCAGCTAACCCCCACCCTTTTGGATCCCCCCAAATTCCACCAGCCGGGGAGAACCCCACTTGCCTCCTTCCAGGCAAATCTACGGGAATTGGGGAGGGGGAGACGAGCTCGACCCCTTCTCTGCTGGCCCAACAGGTGGTACCACCTGGATATGAGAGAAGGACCTCAAAGCACTTATGAGAAGAAGGGGTTCAATGTGCCAAATTCACCTTCTTCATCCCCCATCTCGGGGGGGCTCTGAGCCAACCGCCCAGACACCTTCTTGGGCCCTGCCCCAGCCATCTCTACACGGGCAAGGAGGCTTCGCTGCAATAATGCATAGGAGCAGGGATCAGAAGGCAACGATTTTGCCATCCTTGTCTGCCCTAAAGCCTGCCCTGGACTTGCAGGTGGGAATTATGGGTATCCCAAAATGGAGCCTGGGAAAAGCTGACTTACAGACGGTTGGAGACCTATACCTGGAACAGGACGGTACCACTTGTCTCTGGGTGGTATTTCTTCTCCCCTCCTGACCGCCAAATCCCCCAACAGCCCCCTGTTCTGTTTCTCCCGCCTCTTCCTCCACCCCACACCCACACCCCTCTTCTTTGTTTCTGATTGGTGGCCAAGTGTTGGGTTCCTTTGACTTGATCACTGCTGTTTCAAGGCCAGGGTTAGAGGCCGTGCTAGACTACGGCCAAGAGCGGCGATGAGGACGGCCAGCTGGGCGTCCAGGCTGCTGACAGGGTGCACCCGGTCGCGACAGCCAGGCGGGCCACGCGCCTGCCCCCGCCGTCTGGACCCGAGGCCGGCTGTCGTGAGAGCCCGAGCTGGATGTCGCGACGGGGAGGACGGGGTCGCGATGCCCAAGGCCAGGCGCGGCAGGAGTCGCAGCCTCCAGCCCGGCTATCGCGATGCCGCTCCGCTGCCGTCAGCCGA